ACTTTACAAATCAGTAACTTCATAGATTAGCCTGCTTTTCATTTAAAGAACATTGTTTAAAATCTATTCTGAAATTTCATGATGTAAACCATAAATCATTCAGAAATTAGAGAATTATCCCATTGATAAAAATGAGACTTAACAGGTGGAATTTTCATTCCATCATGACAGTAGTGAGATGTCTCTGGGATCTGTCATCCATATATTGTCACCACAGCATTGACCCAGTGTTTATCATTCTTCACTGGCAATGGTGCTGAGGGTCTGTGGAAGACTGAATCACTGCGGCACCCCAGCTGCCCATGCCATTTTCCCCCTCACAAATTTAAGGATAAAGTATCAGATCCTAAACAGTGGCCAGGAGAAAGGTCTTTTCACTCCTTGCCTTGTAACAACTTCACTGTACCACCTGCCCAAGACCCTCAGAATAATCCCCAAACTCAGGGACAAAGTATGTAGAAGTTAGTCCTCAGATACCCACCTGTCTCTACTGGAGAGTCATACTCTAAATATAGACCCTCCAGGCAGCCTCTTAGAATGTTGAAATATGACACCCCAGCTGGAGGGCCTGGTGTGTAAGAGGCCCTTTTGGGAGGTGAGCCAGGGAGCTCATAATGCCTTGCTGGCAAATATTAGAAGTTAGGAACATGTCCTGACTTTCCTGTCTTCCCCATCTTCCCCAAATGCTTATAGTCCAAACTCCTCACTAATATTATACTTCCATCTCTCTAAATCTCTACCTCATTTGTTTCAACTTCACCCCCCGACACTGTTCTTTTGTGACACTTTATTTCTCGAAAACGAGTGAATTCTATTTCTGAAACTTTACAAGCAGAATACTTAGATTCAACTTCCCATCAGTTTTTGGCTGCGAGTACCTACACAAGTGACTTTTGTTTTTTTAAATGTATATATTAGAAACAGTTAAGGCATATGTAAAGTTTAACAAACATGGATGCCTTGGTGTCTGTCCTACACATGGTTCTGTAACCCAGATTCATTTTCGCAACATTTAGCCTGGCTTCAAGGACAAAACTTCACTCCTACCTCTCCTGGCTTTGGTGTATCCTCCAATTATTCCAGTGTATTACCCAACACCACCATTCTCTTTCAGACCTTTCATGATTTGAATCCACTCCCTCTCTAAATCCCCATGGACATTATAATCCTTTCAATTCTTTTACTTCTTTGTCACTTCAATCCAGAATTCTTACAATGGAATCTGGGGGCTAGTATTTAAAAATTAACATGGTATTCATTATAAGCTCACCAACATCGGTATATTTAAAGACATGTCATGTGCTTGACATTCCATCTTAAAAGCAAAATAGGAAAATGCTTAAGTGAATCCTCAGGATATGCTTGTTAAAAGTTCTTGAACCAGCAAAAGACTCTGTGATGTCACTGCCAAAAGAAACATTTTGGCTTATGTCAGTGTGTGGCCACGTGTGATATATAACTTACAAAGTACCTGAAAGCAATAACAAAAAATGGATCACTGGATGGTAACATTAAATGGAATTGTAGAGGGTGAAACAACAACAACAACAAACCTTTAGAACGTCATTACCTTGAAAAAATATATTTCTTTTTGTATTATCTCTTAGTTAAGGTAGTGTGATTGCAAGTAAAATATAAGGAGGGAAGGCTGAAGACTAGAGTCAACTCTGATGGGAGATAAGAGGAAATGTGGGAGGGGAGATGGGAATGGGAAAGACAGCAGAGTGAATCTGACATACACAACCAGTGTAACTTCACATCATGTACAACCACAAAATGGGAAGTTATACTCCATATATGTTTGATATATACACCATGTATGTATTCTGTCATATATAACTAAAAAGAACAAATTAAAAAATTTAAGAAAAAAAAGGAGAATGCTAGACAATATTTTCAGGATACCATAAATCCATAAATTTTCAGGTTTTTATCTCTCTGCTCAAGATTCATATTTTAGTTTGGTCTGTTTTAGTCACAGAGTGCATCCGTTTGCTAGGGAAATGTAGGGTATGTAAAATGTAAAATGCATTTCCTTTCTTTTCCAGAGAGAAATGTAAATTGTTTCAAATATTGTTGTTGATTTATAGAAGCCCTTTCACTCTTTTGGATATTAACCTTTTGTCTAGCTATGGCTGAGATGCTGGGGGCCTGTCTGCTATAGCATGTCTTAGTTGTGACTTCCACATTAACTAAACTTTAGAAAAGTACAGTTTTAAAATGGCAATGCATATGTTGTCCTTTGAGCCAAGGCCACCTGGCTTCCCTGACAGGATTCTATAAGGTTGCATCTACAGTTCAGGGTCTTGTCCTCAGCACTGTATGAGCCAATCCTGATTCTGTCTGCACACTGAAAGCAGATGCCTCTGTCAAGGAAAGACTCTCATTTATAGAGACATATATAAATCTAGATCTGAATGCTCAAACCCATGGGTCTCTGCATTCTTTTCCTGTTAAGTAGGCCACAAGGGAAACTAATTTTTCTTGAGAAATACAACTGTCAGGGGTACTAGAGGTTTCTGTCATTCTTACATGCCCATTTTCTCTCTGTAGACAAGCTACTACTTGGGAGGCCACAACCCCAGAAGGTTGCTTGGTGAACCTACAATCAGAGCAGGGACATTCGTTCACCTTAAGAAGTGGCTTTCTGCTAAGAGATCTTGAAGTATTCTTACACATTATGGGGATGATTCTGCCAAGAAAAGCTAAACATTCCATTCATTTTAGCCAACACTCCTTCTCCTCCAGACAGTGCTGGGTGGGAACACTTTCCTCTGACTCTCCTTTTCATAATCCTGTGGTTGAATGAGCCCCTTTGCTGCACATGATCTTTCTCTAAATTCAGAATTATATTGTTGATCTGGCTTCTGTTTACTAAATTTCAATCATGTCTCAGTACTGCTTCCCATAATTTATATACATATGAATTTTACTGGAGGTTTGCTTGTTCCCAAACTCCCCAGTCTCTTGATTGACTTCCATATTGTCTGTGGATTTTAAAGACATACTCAGATGACAACCTTACACACAAGCTATTAGGAAACATTTCACTAAGGATCTTGTGTTCAGAAGAGCTGTTACTTTTTGTACTGTATTATTTGTTTTTGTGCTCTGTATTTGTTAAGTTTGTTGGGTTGCAAGCAACTGAAACCAAACCTACTTAACTTAAACAATGAGAGAATGTAATTATTTTATTCCTTTTCCTATTTGTGAAAAGTTCAATCCCAAGTGAATTATTGAGCTCATCAAACCAGTGAAATGGTTTCACACTAAGTACTAGATGCCAAGTACAGCCAAATTTGTCTTGGTTCCTCTAATAGCTATTTTGTTTATAGATATTCTCTGTTTGTTATCAAGTATATTTTGTAATGTTCTTTGTATATCATTCACTTTGTCAGTGTACATGCCTTCTTATCTTACAGATAGTGGGTACACAGATTTGTTTTCTCCTCAATCTTTTGTTACTGGCTTCTGAGAGCTCAAAGCTTCCTCCTCGCTAATTTATGCAAGTGAAGTCTGTTGTTCTTCTATTCAGAGATTGGCCTAATCAAAGATTTACATATTCTCAGACACACTTATTAGCTCATTCAGATTCATCCAGGTTTGTGTTATGTGCTAAGGCCCCAAAGACATTAAGATTACTTTGAATGAAGTGGTTAACACTCTCCACCAAGTGAGAAATGTGAGACTTAGAGGCCATCACCTGACATCACTCTCCCACCTCCACTCTCTTCATTTTTCCTAAAATGAAAATAGCTTTGTAGTATTTTTTTTCCTCATAAAAGAAGGCGGACTGGAGGTGGGTAAGGGCAGAACAAAAATAACAAAGCACTAAGAAAGTAAAAGCCACACTTTCACTACAGGCTTCCTTTTCTGATGCTTGTTCATTTCAGATCTAGGACTAGATTTCAGAGGAAATGGTAGACATTAATAGCTGGGAGGAGAGGAGGTTGAGGGAGAGGCTGCAGTCCCAGGAGCTTAGGGAAGGAAGAGTCAATTTTTCAAAAAAGCACAAGTGGCCAGTAGTCCCAGGGGAAGATGCTGTCCCTTTTTGATAATCTGAGGAAGGGAAACACAACTAGAGAGAGATGGGATTTAGTGGAGAAGAAAGAGTAACAAGGCCTAGTATGGGGGAGGGAATAGTGGGGGGCGGGCCCTCTTCTGCCGCACTGCTGGTGGGAGGGGAAATTGGGGGCCCGAGTTGGTGGATGACGTAGCTCTCACGTGACCAAGAGCTGACGTGTGCAGAAGTCCTTCTTGTCCTGGTCGTTGTTCCCGTCTGAGTACCAGCTCCCCATTGCCCTGAGGGCGGGCGGGCCGGAGGCAGAGGGAAGAAAGAGGAGGAGAAGGAAATTGTCCCGGATCCTTGCAGGTCAGTGCCTGGTAGATTCCATAAAGTGGGGGTGGTGAAGGGCGTAGGGCGGAGACCGTCGCAGGTCCTGAGGCTCCTCCGTCGTCTCTCCCACTCGCCGCCCGCTCTCTCAGACATATGTCCCGCCTGCGGCCCATTTCGATGCTGTGAAACGGTGAGCAGAGGGGTGTTTGGGAAGAGCCCAGAAATAGGGAGATATGAATCTGCAGGGAGGCAAGGCCCGCAATCCGGAAAGGGAGCTCTGGCCTGGGTGTTGCCCCCGTGTCCACCAGGATAGTGCTGGAGGGGAAAGGCTGGGCATGGGGGGCGGGAGTAGTGGGGTGCAACGAGATGTGTCAGCAGAATCCCGAGAGGGGTAACGGGGTTGGAAAGCCTCGCACAACCAGGCCTCCGAATTAAGAGAGTTTCGTTCTCTGGGGACTGGTCCGTCCACCAAGCACTCAGTAACGGCTGTTTCCCGTCTTTCTGCCTGTAGCTGTGTCTTCCTGACCTCCGCACTGTGTCTAGTGGGTCCGAGCCTCTCCTGGGTGGCCAGTCTTTCCGTAGCTTACGGCACAACGCCAGACAAGAGAAGAGGAAGGAAATTAACCCTGATCGGTGAAGGTCGATTTGAGGGTAAGACCATCTGTGAACCTTAGGAGGGGCGGGGGTGAAGGTGGGGGAAAATCAGAGAAGGTAATCTAGGTTCATGTCTGAGTCTGAATGTGTTTCTCACACTCCCCGGACTGTGGCGAAATGGCGTGCGCTGTGTGTGTGTGTGTGTGTGTGTGTGTGTGTGTGTGT